TATATCATTTCATGGAAAGATTGTTGGCGAAAGGAATTGTCTGGTGACGGAGTCTCTTTAACCCTTTCACTACCAAGAACATGTGCCGTACATCGCTGGCAGCGGGCCCCTATACACCGACTCCTGTCGGCTGAGCTGCTGCCATATCGCTTCCAGGGGCTGGTGAAGAGTGCCCCCCATGCGGTGGACACCCCCGTTGTGCTCCCTGGCCTCTGCTGCCCCTCCTGCGGGCCCGGGACTGGCATCACGGGTGTCAGTAGGTAGAGGGGAGAGAGACCAGTGAATGTCTGAGAGTCATGCCTGTGGCAGTCAGAGTCTTGTAATGCCTCATGGGACTTGTAGTTTCACCACAGCTGGAGTGCTGATGTTGCTCTAGCCGAACAGTCAGATAATTTTCATTGAGGGCACTGTGAATTAATATCTGCTGTGCACAGGGCAGCTGACTCCATGCAGCCGCCCATTGTAGTCAGATCTGCTGCATATTGTACATTTATAAAGTTACAGCAATTTCTACATTGTTTCTATCTGTCCAACAACACCGTGACCGTGCTTCACAATGGACAGGTTAGAATTTAGCAGAGAAAGTCACTGGTGACGCAGTCCTGAAAATCATCGTATTTTTTGGCTAGCGCACCTGACCTGGCACACATCACCCGTACTACGCGCACACCATTCGCATTACGTCAGATTACGCCGAGGTTACCAGGAACGTGTCAGGCGGAGAGATGATGAAGAGCTGGACACTGATCCTTCCTGAGAACACCGAGCTGGAAGTGTCATCGCCGGGGTCAGATCCATCATCACACTGACAACCTGCCAGGAGACATCGTTTGGAAAAATACAGAAGAGCGTTAGTGATGTGGCATCCCATAATAACCAATCACATCCATTTACAGACATTGGAAGGTGATTTCTCATTGGTTACTAAGGAGCCCTGATCTGAAAATAAAGTCCAAATCCAACCAAACTGGAAACCCAATTAGGGCTATAAAAAGAGACTCAGCAGTCTCAGTCATTGCTGAGTGCTCTTCAGCCTGTGTCTTATCAGTTTTGCTCTGTTCCTGCTGTTTCCTTACTGTATTGACCCTGGCTTGTACCTGACCATTCTCTGGATCCTGTTTATGTTCTTAGATCATCTCTCTGGCTTCTGACCCTGGCTTGTCTCTGACCATTCTCTGGATTCTGATTTGGCTACTATTATTACCGCTCTGGCTTCTTCCTGACCATTCTTGGCATTCTCCAGTGTAGCATCACGCTCAGCTGGCACCCCGGAATCCATACCGGCACCCGTGCTGCTCTTGCCTGTGACCCCCTGTTGCACCTCAGGGGTCCACAGACGGAACCGCAAGGGAGGTCCTCCTTGTCACTTCGGGCCCGCACCACAGTATGTAACAGGTACTTGCCTGACTGCATTGTGCCAAGTGTAAAGTTTGGTGGAGGGGGGGTTATGGTGTGGGGTTGTTCTTCAGGGGTTGGGCTTGGTCCCTTAGTTCCAGTGAAGGGAACTCTTAAGACATCAGCACACCAAGACATTTTGGACAATTTCATGCTCCCAACTTTGTGAGAAGAGTTTGGGGATGGCCCCTTCCTGTTCCAACATGACTGCGCACCAGTGCACAAAGCAAGGTCCATAAAGACATGGATGGGGGAGTTTGGGGCAGAGGAACGTGACTGGCCTGCACAGAGTTCTGACCTCAACCCGTTAGAACACCTTTGGGATGAATTAGAGTGGAGACTGCGAGCCCGGCCTTCTCCTCCAACATCAGTACCTGACCTCACAAATGGTCCAACATTCCCATAGACACACTCCTAAACCTTGTGGACGCCTTCCCAGAAGAGTTGAAGCTGTTATAGCGGCACAGGGCGGAGCCAACTCAATATTGAACCCTACGGACTAAGACTGGGATGCCATTAAAGTTCATGTGCGTGTAAAGGCGTCCCAATACTTTTGACAATATGGTGTATATGGGAGCTGCTTTACCTGCCAAAAGATTTGCATTTGTGTCCATCCATTCCTGAGATTTTCACAGCTCTGGCACAAAGCAGGGCCCTGTCTAAAAGGGCAATAGACCTTATCTTTAGTGACACTTACTTGTGCCTTCACTGTGACTGGAAAGGGAAAAGATAAGCAGCACACTCACTGTCACTCTGCTTTCTTCTCCTATCAGCGTGTTACTTTTTAGCACACATCTTGTCGCAGCTCTCCCTATCCCCGTCCAAACTCTGCTGTACAGGGTATTCCAACTCATATTCAGGTCTTTATACAGCTTGCTAGTAAAATAAAAGCGATGTTTATTGGTGTAGTGATGAATACAGAACTGTAACAATCTTTTCTATCTTCCTGGAGTTCAGAGGAAACAATGTCACACACACAGAGGTTGTCACCTGCTACATTGTACAGCTAAGAAAACAGCCTGCAATACCAGAAGTGACCAGCAGAGGGGATCACGTGCACAGCTCTGAGACCTCCAGTACCATTGTGTCATTCTGGCCTTGTGGATTAGTATACACTGTATGTTGCAGGCTGGGATTGCTGGCCCCTGTATGAAAATACTAGTTGCCTGGCTGTCTCTGGTTTTAATATTTTGTGAATATTTTGCACCTTTATGAAGGTTGCAGATCATGAAAGTCAGAATGATGACAAAACTTTTCATCTGTTTCAAGTTAGTGGCTTAAAAAACACTGAAACCATCAGACCCGCAGGACAGACGGGGAATTCATGGTCTCAGAAACAAAGGTCGTTGTGTCATTGTTCAGGGACCACACAACTGTCTGTGTCATTGTTCGGGGACCCCAAGTGTCAGTGTGTCATTTTCCCGAGACCCCACAACTGTCTGTGTCATTGTCCGGGGACCCCAAGTGTCATTGTGTCATTTTCCCGGGACCCCACAACTGTCTGTGTCATTGTCCGGGGACCCCAAGTGTCATTGTTTGGGGACCCCACAACTGTCAGTGTCATTGTTTGTGGACCCCACAACTGTCAGTGTCATTGTTTGGGGACCACACAACTGTCTGTGTCACGGTCCTGGTACTTTTTGTATCAGTGTCTCATGGTCCGGGTACTCCAATATCATTGTGTATATTCTGAAAATGACTCAAATATCACAATAAGAAAACTGAATTTATATGAAATGTATATGTGACACAGAATGTGATATGGACTATGAGCACTGTCTCTGCACCCCCCCGCCCCCCTGTCTCTCTCTTCTCTCCCATCTCTCTCCTGTCTCTCTCTCTCTCTTCTCTCCCATCTCTTTCCTGTCTCTCTCTCTTCTCTCCCATCTCTTTCCTGTCTCTGTCTCTTTTTTTTTTATCCCGTCTTTCCCCTGTCTCTTTCTCTTCCATCTCTGTCTTTCTCTCTCTGTCTCTCACATCTCTTCTGTATCTATCTCTGCCACATTTCTGTCTCTCTCACATCTCTCCTGTCCCTGTCTCTCTCACTTCTGTCTCATCTCTCCTTACTCTCTCTCTTCTGTCACATTTCTCTCTCTTCTGTCTCATCTCTCCTGTCTCTCTCTCTTCTGTCACATATCTCTCTCTCTCTCTCTTCTGTGACATATCTCTCTCTCTCTCTTCTGTCACATCTCTCCTGTCTCTGTCTCTGTCTCTCTTCTGTCACATCTCTCCTGTCTCTGTCTCTCTTCTGTCACATCTCTCCTGTCTCTGTCTCTCTTCTGTCACATCTCTCCTGTCTCTGTCTCTCTCTCTCTTCTGTCACATCTCTCCTGTCTCTGTCTCTCTCTCTCTTCTGTCACATCTCTCCTGTCTCTGTCTCTCTCTCTCTTCTGTCACATCTCTCCTGTCTCTGTCTCTCTCTCTCTTCTGTCACATCTCTCCTGTCTCTGTCTCTCTCTCTCTTCTGTCACATCTCTCCTGTCTCTGTCTCTCTCTCTCTTCTGTCACATCTCTCCTGTCTCTGTCTCTCTCTCTCTTCTGTCACATCTCTCCTGTCCCTGTCTCTCTCTCTCTTCTGTCACATCTCTCCTGTCTCTGTCTCTCTCTCTCTTCTGTCACATCTCTCCTGTCTCTGTCTCTCTCTCTCTTCTGTCACATCTCTCCTGTCCCTGTCTCTGTCTCTCTTCTGTCACATCTCTCCTGTCTCTGTCTCTCTCTCTCTTCTGTCACATCTCTCCTGTCTCTGTCTCTCTCTCTCTTCTGTCACATCTCTCCTGTCTCTGTCTCTCTCTCTCTTCTGTCACATCTCTCCTGTCTCTGTCTCTCTCTCTCTTCTGTCACATCTCTCCTGTCTCTGTCTCTCTCTCTCTTCTGTCACATCTCTCCTGTCTCTGTCTCTCTCTCTCTTCTGTCACATCTCTCCTGTCTCTGTCTCTCTCTCTCTTCTGTCACATCTCTCCTGTCTCTGTCTCTCTCTCTCTTCTGTCACATCTCTCCTGTCTCTGTCTCTCTCTCTCTTCTGTCACATCTCTCCTGTATCTGTCTCTCTCTCTTCTGTCACATCTCTCCTGTCTCTCTCTCTTCTGTCTCTCTCACATCTCCCCTCTGTCTGTCTCTCTCCCACATCTCTCCTGTCTCTTTCTCTCTCTTCTGTCTCTCTCACATCTCTCCTGTCTGCCTCTGTCTCTCTCCCACACCTCTCCCGTCTCTGTCTCTCTCACACCTCTCCTGTCTCTTTCTCTGTCTCTCTCTCTTATCCCTGTCTCTCTCTCTTATCCCTGTCTCTCTCTCTTATCCCTGTCTCTCTCACATCTCTCCTGTCTCTCTCTCTCTCCTATCGCTGTCTCTCTCCTATCCCTGTCTCTTTCACATCTCTCCTTTCTCTGTATCTCCCCCTATCTCTGTCTCTCTCTCCTATCCTGTCTCTGTCACATCTCTCTCCTATCTCTGTCCCTGTCTCTCTCTCCTATCCCTGTCTCTGTCTCTCTCACATCTCTCCTGTCTCCAGCAGCAGCCTGTCGTGTCCTGTGCTCCCCTCCCCCTCCTGTCGGTCTCTCCTCCCCTCCGCCGGGTGTGCCGGAGCCCGCAGTGTCCCCATCCTCCTCCCTCCTCCTCCTCCTCCTGGTTGTGCTGGTGCGGAGCTGTGATGGCCGGGCGGCGGGTGTAGCGGGTGTAGAAGATGTCGGGGGAGGTGCGGTTGCGGCAGTTGGAGCGGTTGTTGGTGGACGGAGCGGTGCGGGGCGGATGGATGAGTGTGGAGAGTCTGCTGGACTCGTTGCTCTGCCTGTACGATGAGTGCTGCGCCTCCCCACTGCGCCGCGACAAGAACATCCACGACTACATCGAGTGGGGTGAGTCACCCGAGCCGAGACACTGCTGGGGTCACCGGGGGGATGTGAGGCCTGGCACTGGGGTGCCTGCATCATTCTGGGGGTCACTGGAGGGTCATCTGATTTTGGGTCACTGATTATTTGTGGGGACTGTCCCATGGGGGCGCTTTACTGATATTGGGGTGCTCTATACATTCTGGGGGTTCATCTGAGCAGGGTCACTGTGTTTTTGGTAACTGCCCTATGGGGGCTCTTTATTGATATTGGGGGTACTTCTTGGGGTCACCTGACCAGGGATCACATTGGGGTGATTGTCATGTGTATGGAGTTATAATTACCATCATTGTGGTCACCTCAACTAGGGTCACATTGGGGTGATGTCACATGTTTGGGTTGTTTATTGATATTGGGGTGTTTGGATCATCCTTGGAGGTCACCTCAGCTAGGGTCATATTGGGGTAATTGACATGTATTTTAAGTGTTTATTGATTTTGGGGTACTTTGACAATCCTTGGGGTCACATTATGGTAATTGGCATGTGTTTATATTGGAGTGCTTGCACTTTCTTTGTAGTCACCTGAGCTTTGGTCATATTGTGAAGGCTGTCATGTTTGAAGTGTTTGTTTGATATTGGGGTGCTTGGGCCTTCCTTGGGGACACCTGAGCTAGGGTCACACTAGGGTGACGTTTGGGGTGCTTGGGCCATCCTTGGGGGTTATCTGATTTAAGGTGCTTATTGAGGTGATTGTTGTGTTTACTAATATTAGGGTACTTGGATCATCCTTGGGGGTCACCTTATCTGTGAGGGCATTTTTGGGCCATTCTTGGGGTTGGGATGGTCATCTGACCTGCGGTCATTGTCATTTGCGGTTGTGTGGGGTGTATACTAATCCTGGGGTGCATCTGATCTAATGTCATGTTGTATTTGGGGTGCCTGTCATGAGTGTGGGGGGTTTATTGCACTTTTGAAAAATTAGGACAATTCTCTGGGTCACTCATCAACAGCACTATAGGAGATGTCTGCTGTCATGATTTTGGGGTGACTATGGGGGTGTTTAGAGCCGTTTACGGGTCTCACAACAATATTGGGGGTTGGATACTAGTAAATGGTGCAACCTGGGGTCATAGTATATTTGGGGTAACTCTGATTTGAGTGGGGTGTTTACAATGGTAAATTCTGGGGTCACTGGTGGTCACATAGGTATGGGGGTATCCTCAGACCCAGGCTCTTGGTGTGTTTAGATTATCATACATATTGCGTGTTTACTGGAGTTAATGAGGTTCCTATAACAATACTACAGGTTGCATGCTAGAAGGGGTGCTATTTGTACATAGGTGGGCTGTTTGCTGTCTGTATGTGGTCATAGCAGAATGGAGGAGTCCTTAGACCTGGGGTCACAGTGCATTTGGACTGTGGTCAAGTCATGGGTCACTGTTGGACATATCAGAAAGGAGGTGTCCTTAGACCTGGGGTCTCAGTGTATTTGGACTGTGGTCAGTTCTTGGGTCATTTCAGAATGGAGGTGTCCTTAGACCTGGGGTCACAGTGTATTTGGACTGTGGTCAAGTCATGGGTCACCGTTGGACATATCAGAAAGGAGGTGTCCTTAGACCTGGGGTCTCAGTGTATTTGGACTGTGGTCAGTTCTTGGGTCATTTCAGAATGGAGGTGTCCTTAGACCTGGGGTCACAGTGTATTTGGACTGTGGTCAAGTCATGGGTCACCGTTGGACATATCAGAATGGAGGTGTCCTTAGCCCCGGGGTCACAGAGTCTATCTTCTATGTCTGTTTATGGGGTGCCAGTACAAAATTTGTTGTCGCTTGTCTGCTCATTGGGCCATATCAGAAGGAGAAGTCACCAGACCCATTGGGGGGTGAGGGTGCTGCTTTTAGATCTAGGGTACAACTCAAGTAGGCCTCTGTGCACAATCCAATTTGCCGTGATGGCCATCACCCATGACCACCAGCCCGAACACAAGTTGCTATAAGCGGATTTCTGTTTGGTTGCTGGGACTGCAGTTGAATGTGTGTAGCCCCCAAAGAACCCCCAGATAGGATGTAGAGGTGCTTTTGTACCTTGCATGGGCAATCTGGACCCTTCAATGAGGTGCTGAGAATGTATAAACCAGCAAACTGCTAGCTGACAGGTCCTGCTGGGACATGTTGTCCACAAGCAGTGATGGGGCAATTTCCCAATTGTCTAAAAAGGCCTCTGGTGCTCTGACAGAGATGCCCATGGAACCCCCACCTCTAATGTTAATGAATAGACACTCTGGTGCTATTGGTTCCCGTGCAGCTGGCGGACCCCAGGATGCGTTTTGCCGGTGCAGCTGGTTGTAGCCTCGGCTGTTTGGAAGCAGTAAATGAACACGGTGCTGTGGTAATGAGGTGACATATGGTGCTCGAATGTATAATGACATTGTTGGTCAGTCTGTCACAGGACACTGTCACATGTTGGGGCCTTCTGAACTGGACATCAAAGGGACACCACTGTGCACAAAAGAGCAAAAACGGGCCGTTGGTTTACCATAGCGTGCATTGCGTGCCGAGTGCTTTTCCTGCTAGCAAATGAAGACATTATATCAATTGTATTATAACACAGTTCAGTTTTTTAATATTATTTATTAACATCAAATTAAATGTGTTCAGTTTATATTTTTATTCAAACGAAGACAGTATCCCATAGCGACTGACCTTTCACTGGTCTGACCTCAGTAATCGGGGATCTGATTGGCCGCCCTGGGTTACTGCGCTGTGTACATCACGTATTAAATAAGATCACGTGAGATCTTTTTTCTTTTTGTATCCCTCCTTTAAAGTGATGACGACAAGCGTGTAATAAGATGTCTGGCAATCTCGCATTTCTTTTTTCATCTTGGCTTTGGAAAGTTGCTGGTTTTGTGGTGGAGATTTTTCTCGCTGCCTTGATGATATCATCTTATATTTATAGGCGCTCCATCCTTGGATGTATAGATGAAGGCAGGCCAATAAAACATCATCAATTTCCATTATCATGCCAGCTCAGGTGAGCGGCTGAATTTATAGTGCGTCTGGGTCTGCGTTCAGTCCTGCGCTGCGTCCCATAACGGAACGTTCGCTTCTTTTTGGGGAACTTTCACGGTTTGGGTGCTTTTCTGCGTGTAAAAACTCAGCCTGGGTCATGTGGAAAGGTCTGGACCGTTATGTTTAATGGCATCGTTCATACCTGCGTGTTTTAGCAGAACCATTTTTGATATGTTCAGCATTCCGTGATGATTCACAATTGTTCATAAGAGTTCCTTGCAAACGGGATGGAAGATACAGGATGTAAAATGTAATATTGTATTATTATTATTATTATTCAGGATTTGTACTCTATAGTGCCAACAGTTTGTGCATTGCTTCACAATATAAAGGGAGAGAATACAATTGCAATATAATTAGTTGCGTTAGTTATTGGTTAGGAGCATCCAAAATACGTCCCTTCCTCACTAATGAAACCTCAAAACTACTCATCCATTCGCTTGTTATCTCTCATCTTGACTATTGCAACTCCCTCCTCATTGGCTTACCTCTACACAGGCTCCTCCTCCCTTCAGTCTATAATGAATTCTGCTGCTAGACTCATTCACCTAACCAACCGCTCAGTGTCTGCAACCCTCCTCTGCCGATCCCTCCACTGGCTTCCATCCCCCCCCCCCCTCAGCCGATCCCTCCACTGGCTTCCATCCCCCCCCCCCCTCAGCCGATCCCTCCACTGGCTTCCATCCCCCCCCCCCCTCAGCCGATCCCTCCACTGGCTTCCATCCCCCCCCCCCCTCAGCCGATCCCTCCACTGGCTTCCATCCCCCCCCCCCCTCAGCCGATCCCTCCACTGGCTTCCATCCCCCCCCCCCCTCAGCCGATCCCTCCACTGGCTTCCATCCCCCCCCCCCCTCAGCCGATCCCTCCACTGGCTTCCATCCCCCCCCCCCCTCAGCCGATCCCTCCACTGGCTTCCATCCCCCCCCCCCCTCAGCCGATCCCTCCACTGGCTTCCATCCCCCCCCCCCCTCAGCCGATCCCTCCACTGGCTTCCATCCCCCCCCCCCCTCAGCCGATCCCTCCACTGGCTTCCATCCCCCCCCCCCCTCAGCCGATCCCTCCACTGGCTTCCATCCCCCCCCCCCCTCAGCCGATCCCTCCACTGGCTTCCATCCCCCCCCCCCCTCAGCCGATCCCTCCACTGGCTTCCAGTAGCCCAATTGATAAAATGGATAAATGGATACAATTCAAAATATTAACAATCACTTCCAAAGCCATTCACAACTCTGCCCCCAGGTATATCTCCAACCTTTTACCCCAACCTGTCCGTCTTTCTCCCACTCTGACTGACTTTAGGCGATCCCCTAAGACTCATCTCTTCAGGGAAGCCTATCCCACCTCAAACTAACCACTGAACCATCATGTTCTCATACAATTCATTTCCTTTTAGATTGTAAGCCCTCAGGGGCAGGGCCCTCCTTACCGTCTTGTCTTGAATTGTATTTGATTGTAATATCTTCCTTATATTGTAAAGCGTTGCGCAAACTATTAGCGCAATATAAATCCTGTATAATGATAATAATCCTGACCATGGAAGCTTACAATCTAAAGTGTGTGTGTGCTGAATATTGTTAAAATGCAGCTGTACAGAGCTCTGTCAGTGTTCGTGTTTTGCAGTCTAACGCTGTCTGGTCGAAATCTCCAACTCGCAAGTACCCGGCAGTGAGGTGGTTGGAGATTTTGACGAGTTGGAGCTTTCGATAGAACACCTGCACCTCTAAAACGCTGTACTTGGCATAATAGAGACTAGCATGTCAAAAAATGTATTGTAAAGGTAAATGCGCCTTTCTTTTTATAATCTTTGGTATCAATACACTGTACTGTGTTGAATCAGCCAATCAGTGAGCAGCAGCAGAGCTTGGAACACAACCACGGCCTGCCGATTGGACAGCGGAGAAGCAGCATACGGATGAGCCATCACTCTGCTGTCTCCTCCTGCCAATGTATGGGTTCTGC